GCGCCCGGCGCCGCCTCCTGCTACGGGACCGGGCCGGGGGTGCGCGCGGAGCTTCCTCAGGCCGGCCCCCGCCGCGGGCAGTGAGGCTGGCTCCCTCTGCCGCTGCACCCCGAGACCCGGGCTCAGCGGGAGCCCTCGGGGCCTCTGCGGCCACCTGGCACCCAGCGCCCGTGCCCTGCCCCGCGGCAAGGAGTAGGGCGCCAGGGCAGCGCTGCCCTGGCCTGGGCCAGTGACAGGGCGGGAGGGAGCGGTGCCAGGGGCTCCGCCGCGCTCCTCCCTCCGAAGCCGGGCAGGGGCAGGGTGGAGATGCACCTTCTGGGCTAAGGGAGGCAGAGGTGCACAAGCTTTCACGGTATCCAGGACCATCAAAGTGCGCAGGGCAGCTGCTGTCACACCTTTGTCCTTAGGGGTTTATGACTCTCTCAGCACTGCCCTCCTCTGTCAGATCACTCTGTCTGGTTGCCAGCCTGCTCCCTGCACCTGGCCTTTCCGAGCATCTGATGAAATGAGCTCTGGTGCAGGACAGCTCTCACACCTCTGATGCAGTTAGTCTAGAAGGTGCCTCTCCAACTTGCCTTCTGCCTAGAATGAAGAAGCAGGTGTTGTGTTCATACTGAAAGGAGCGTGACGCTTACATTGAACGTGCATGTTACATTCTTAGGCAGAAAATGTATCAGTGCTAGTCCCAAGAAGATGGAAAATAAATTGAAAAAGTGATGGTTACTCTTGTGTTCTGGAAGTTGTATATACGAAGAGATTCCTTGTTCCACTTGCCTGTCTACTACAGTCTTCATGCTGATTTCTATTAAAGGGTCTAGGGACTTAACCCTGCTAAGTCTATGCATCTGGCTGTCCAGCACCTCCCCTGCACTGCTTGAGTGTCTTACGATCACTTGCCTGTTATCCACAGTAGTGAATTCTGACTCTTGCCTGCCATGTCTTGGTGCTCCTTTGAAGTAAATGATCGGGAGGTGTTTGCTTTCACCACAGTTGCTCAATGGCAAACACACTGGACTTTCTTCTAGGGCTCCAACCTCACCTACACCCCTTCCTAGTGCCACCCAGATGTTATGTGCCACCACATACACTTTTAGATCTTCCCAGGCAATTTTGCTTTAATTCTTTAATTCCACAAGTAAGTCCAATTGCTCCCCTGCCAGTCCAAGGCAGCTCTCACCCTGTGCTCTTACAACATCCAGGACCTGGTAAATTTCAGCCCAGTCGCAGCCCAGCACCATCGGATACAGTAGATCATGCGCAATGCCAAGGGCCATCTCCCTTGCCATGTTAAGCACTTTTACCCATTACTTCCTTCAGGGGTACATGGAGGGTTGTCCATGAATGCAGACCATCTTCACTGCTATTGCCTCCTGGGCCCAGCTGTCAGGGGCCATATCTGCCCAAATCAACATCTGGGCACAGCCCATATCAACAATGGCTAGTACCTTCTTGCCCCCAACATTGGTCCACACCGTGGGGTTCTATTTCTTTCCATCCCAACTGTTTTTGCCTATGCTGCAATCCAGCAGCTCTACGTGTCCATTGTCCCTCAGATCGGACTGGTACGTCCATGCTTCAAAATGTGATTCCCCTGATCACAGGACTGTTTGGGGGTGGGGGGGATACTGTTACACTTCCTTGCTATGTGTCCCGCCTTTCCACACTGGAAGCAAATCACTGAGGCACTCTGGACCTAGCGAACTTCTTGGGTTTCTTTCTGTTCTGTCTCATGCAACCTGGAATTCGGTCCTCCCTTTAGCCCTTTCTCCTAGGTGTGTTTTCAACTTGGGCACTGTCAAAGTCCTTGGCTAGATGCAGTGCTTCTGCCAATGACTTTGGATCATGACACTGCACCCACTGCTGTGTACTCTCATTCAGATCAAAGATAAATTGTTCCAGCAAGACCTGATCCCAGATGTTGACCTTGGACACCTCCTGTGGTTTCAACCATTTTTTCAGCAGGTCCGCCAGATGCTGAAACAAGATCCTCAGAGATTTCTCCTTGTCATGGGAGAGAACGGGAGAGAGAGGGGATAAAGGGGAGAACTAAAGAAACAGAAAAACACCACTTGCCTGCAGCTGGAGCCGCGGCACAGCGGGGAGAAGAGGAGAAGCCTGCGCGGCTCATCAGCTGCGTCTTTATTCAGCTGGGACCGGTGATGTCACCAGCAATCACCGGTTGGCAAAGATAAAAATGGAGGTTGGCAGGAAAAGCGGAAAGGAGGAGATGGACAGCTACAGCATGTGCCCTCAGGACCCCTGCTGGGAAGCCACCAGGAGGGAGAGAGGGCTGGGTAA